CTGGGACTACAGGTACCTGCCACCTCGCCCGGCTAGTTTTTTGTATTTTTTAGTAGAGACGGGGTTTCACCGTGTTAGCCAGGATGGTCTTGATCTTGTGACCTCGTGATCCGCCCGTTTCGGCCTCCCAAAGTGCTGGGATTACAGGCTTGAGCCACCGCGCCCGGCTAATATCTGATTGTTAAAAGCTATTCCTTATATAGCAATTAAAATATTTATGGATAAAGCGGCTCAACAAGTGACTTAATTGCCCTGTTTCCTAAGGATTTTTGGAATATTTTGCTATTCTTAAAGAGATGACGCAACAAGCATTCTATAAACAATTACATTCACATACACACTAATCTTCACTACATTTCTGAGGGCAACAATTTACTAATTTAAAAGTGTTATCTATTAGGGTACAGCCAGAGTTAAGATTTCTTGGGACCTTGTCAAGCAAAGTCATAGGGTCTTGGTTGAAAAGACAGGAGGCAAGCATTGATGAGAAACTGCAGGTAACCACCTAACTTACTAATCATGTCTTAGGGTTTATCATCTATAAAACTGGTATGATTTAACTGCCAGGCCTATCTCACAGGTTGCTGTGAAAATATAGGACTAAATAAATGCACTCAGACAATTAATAATGTTACTAACAGTTTCTCAACTAACCTCCTTGCAGCTTCCACGCCACTTCTCTGCTCTTCATATAGTACAACTCCCTAAGAGTGCCTCCGCTTCCTCTCCCTTTGTCTCTTCAAAGCACCGTAATCACACTTCACCCTCACCACTCTTAGCAATGACTCTTTGTCAAGTCACCAATGACCTTATTAACCCAGTCTCAGTCCTCTTACTGAACCAACTACCAGCATTTGACTCAGTTAAATAAGTCACTCCTTGAAACACATCATTGACTTCCAGGGCACTATTCTTGGTTTTCCTACCTTTCAATCTCCTTGGATGATTCCTCTTAATCTCCTGACCTTCAAATGTTGGAAGTAGCCAAGAGCAGAGAGCACCTAATTTCCATCCACATTAGATTCCCTAGAAAGGAAATCTAGTAGCATGGCTTAAACTAGCCACCCGTACATTATATGCTTCCACATTTCTATCTCCTGTTTTAACTTCTGTGAATTCCTGACCTGTACATCAAACTGCTTAGGTAACCTTTCCGTCTGAATATTTAATAGACCTCAAACATACCTACACTCAAAATTAACACAGGCCTCCCTTATTCTCATTCTTAAGTCTATTATTCCTGTAGCTTTTCACATTTCGATATATGCTAACTCATTTTTCACACTGCTCAGATAAAACATTTTTGAGACAGGGTCTCACTCTTGTAGCCTAAGTTGAAGCCGAGTAGTGCTATCACGGCTCATTGCAGTCTTGTCCTCCCTGGCCCAAGCGATCCTTCCTGCCTCAGCCTCCTCAGTAGCTGGGACACAGGCACGTGCCACCATGCCCAACTTTGCATTTTTTGTAGAGACAGGGTCTCATTACATTGCCCAGGCTAGTCTCGAACTATTAGGATCAAGTGATTAGTCCAACTCGGCCTCTCAAAGTGCTGATTACAGGCGTGAGCCACCGCACCTAGCCAGACCATCTTGAGATTACCCTTAACTCCTCAGTTTTTCTTATATCCCATATCTAACCTATCAAACTCTGGTCTCTGTCACCATCTCCTCTTGTCTGTAATATTCCAAGTCTTCTAAACTGGTCTCACTGTACTCTACACTCTACTTTCAACCCTGCAGCCAGAAAAATCCTTTTAAAAAAGTCTTACAGGCTGGACGCCGTGGCTCATGCCTGTGATCCCAGCACTTTGGGAGGCCAAGGAAGGTGGATCAGGTCAGGAGTTCAAGACCAGCCTGGCCAAGATGCTGAAACCCCATCTCTACTAAAAATACAAAAAAATTAGCCAAGCACAATGGTAGGCACCTGTAATCCCAGCTACTCGGGAGGCTGAGGCAGGAGAATCACTTGAACCCGGGGAGCAGAGGTTGCAGTGAGCCAAGATCACGCCACTGCACTCCAGCCTGGGCAAAAGAGACTTCGTCTTAAAAAAAAAAAAAAAAAGTCTAACGGAGGCCAGCTGCAGTGACTTATATCTGTAATCCCAGCACTCTGGGAGGCTGAGACAGGATCACGTGAAGCCAGGAGTTCAAGACCAGCCTGGCCAACGTGGCGAAACCCCATCTCTACTAAAACTACAAAACTCAGACAGGCACAGTGGTACACGCCTGTAATTCTAGCTACTCAGGAGGCTGATACACAAGAATCACTTAATCCCAGGAGGCGGAGGTTGCAGTGAGCCCAAGACAGAGCAAAACTCTATTTACTTATTTTTTTTGAGACAGAGTGACAGAGCATACATCTCTATTTAAACCCCCATTTCATTCAGAATTAAAGAAAACAGCCAGGTACAGTGGCTCACAACTGTAATTCCACCACTTTGGGAGGCTGAGGTGGGAGAATCGCCAGATCCCAGGAGTTGGAGACCAGCCTAGGCAACATAGTGAGACCCTGTCTCTATAAACTAAAATTTTAAAAATAGCCGGGTATGGTGGCACACACCTGCGGTCCCAGGTACTCAGGAGGCTGAGATGGAAGGATCATTTGAGTAAGGGAGTTCAAAGCTGCAGTGAGCTATGATCTGCACTCCAGCCTGGGCAACAGGGTGAGACCCTGTCAATCAATCAAAAGAAAATGTTCTTATCCACATTATCCAATATAATAGTTAGCTACGTGACAGAGACACTGAACATTTAGCTATTCATAGAATTTCAAATAGCCACATGTAACTAGTGGCCGCAACAGTGAACAGCTGTGGGTCTAACATGTAGTAGGTTCTCTAACATTTTTTTTTTTTTTTTTTTGAGACGGAGTCTCTGTCACCCAGGCTGGAGGAGTGCAGTGGCACAAACTCAGCTCACTGCAACCTCCACTTTCCAGGTTCAAGTGATTCTCCTGTTTCAGCCCCCTGGGTAGCCAGGACTACAGGCGCCCGCCACCACGCCCAGCTAATTTTTTCTATTTTTAGTAGAGATGGGGTTTCACCATGTTGGCCAGGTTGGTCTCAAACTCCTGACCTCAGGTGATCCATCCGCCTCAGCCTCCCAAAGTGCTGGTATTACAGGCGTGAGCCACCGCACCTGGTCAACATTTTAAAGTGAGTATTAAATTGTTGTTAAAGTATATGGAGTGAAAAGGATCTATATCAATTTATCTTTAAACCCAGAGAAACCATGTCTCCCTACCTCCCACCAACAGTAGTTTCCAATGATTGGGTATTTGATCTTCTCATATTTCTCTAAGGTATAATTTAGCAAAAGTACAGACGGCTCTAGGACTAAGCAAAAGTAGAATAACGTTGAATGAGACATGAAGGTACTTACTAGATCTTAAAAACTGTAAGTTACAATGCTCTATTTTCTAAAAGAACTTAAGAAACCTAGAAATTATTGTTACTATTACTATTATTATTTTGGGGATGGAGTCTCACCCTGTCGCCCAGGCTGGAATGCAGTGGCGCCATCTCGGCTCACTGCAACCTCCACCTCCAGGGTTCAAATGATTCTCCTGCCTCAGACTCCCCAGTAGCTGGGATTACAGGCACACCCCACCACACCCGGCTAATTTTTGTATTCATCATGTTGGTCAGGTTGGTCTTGAACTCCTGACCTTGTGATACGCCCACCTCGGCCTCCCAAAGTGCTGGGATTACAGGCGTGAGCCACCGTGCCTGGTTGAAACCTAGAAATTATTAAATGAAATACAATTCTGGGCTGGCACAATGGCTCATGCCTATAGTCCCAGGGCTTTGGGAGAACGAGGCAGGAAGATGGCTAGAACCCAGGAGTTTGAGGCTGCAGTGAGCCATAACCATGTCACTGCAATCCAGCCTGGGCCACAGAGCAAGGCCGTCTCTTAGAAGCAAAGAATACAACGCTGCCATTCCAATAAATAAGTTGCTGAAATTAGCCTAGCCCCAAGCTACAGATAATAACAAATCCTTCAATGGCAGTGAGTAATGACAGCTAATTAAGTATTAATCCTTATGGCCAGACCACCTACAAAATCTAAATCGCTGATCCTTGTTCTCTGCTCCAAGAACTCAGGAAATATTTTGTGATTTCAATCTGTTACCAATCTACCCTAGTAAGGTACTATCAAACTAAATACAAATATAAACTCTCTTTAAACATAAAAAGCCAGTTTTGTTTATTGTCTTGATGGCTACCGAACAATTTTTTTTTTTTAAGGCTGACTAGCTCTTATCTTTTGAAGTAAGTAAATGAACAACAACAACAAAAAAATTACAGTTGTCAGAGAAATAAATGATTATTCTTTCAGCCAGGCGCGGTGGCTCATGCCTGTAATCCCAGCACTCCGGGAGGCCCAGGTGGGTAGATCGCCTGAGGTCACGAGTTCAAGACCAGCCTGGTCAACATGGTGAAACCCCAGTGTGTACTAAAAATACAAAAAATTAGCCAGGCATGGTGGCGGGCGCCTGTAGTCCCAGCTACTCGGGAGGCTGAGGCAGAAGAATCACTTTAACTGGGGAGGCGGAGGTTGCAGTGAGCCGAGATTGCATCACTGCACTCCAGCCTGGGCGACAAGACCGAAGCTCAAAAAAATAAAAAAGATTATTCTTTCAAGTTGTTTCCATATCACAAGCGGACAATAAATACAGAAGAAAAATCCTTACCTGCATGCAATGAATAGCTAAGCCAGGTCCTGTATACAATTTCTTGTGACATATATGGCATTTAAAATGCTTTGCTTTTTGGTGCTGTATAAGGATCTTCTCATCATCAAAATCTCTATTACAATACCTGATCAATACTGTTAAGGCACAAAAACAGCATAATGATGACACTGCCTGTAATAAAAACACATGGATAACACTACAATATAGGAACAGCCAAAACCAAAATGGTACTGTACAGAAACCCTGCTTTTGATATTTATTACACAATTAAGGACTGCACATGCCATGTAATTTCAATACTTTCAATTTCCTAGAAGCCTATCTCTCTTCACTACCTCAAAAAACACATCAGTCATCAGCAATATACTTTGTCAAATTCCTATGTTCAACAGAGATGTCTGTGAAACTTTTGTTACAAATATTTCAACATTTACAAATGCACACTGAGGACAGGAAGGAGTTCAGTTAAGAAATCCCCAAGGTTCTGTCTAGACAATTACTTCACTAGATACGTAGACGATAGCCATAACTGGATTAGGAATTTAGCAATATTTAGAATCTAAGATTATATGGTGAACAATAATCACATAATTTCGAATGAACAATCCATAAAACTGTTTCCAATTCCGAATGAATTTGTTGCCAAGCAATGTATTTAAATTCACAGATCAATAAAATCAGTAAAACAGAATTCTTACCTCACTACTCAGATTTTCCTAAAATCACATTACAAAATTCGTAACCGTATTTAAGCTATTTTTAAAGCTGTTACATAAATAAATGCAGTACTGTAACAAGCCGCCTTTACGTACAAAACTAAACAAAATCAATTTTAATGTAAAGAATATTAACGCTTCCGGAAAAAGTATTAAACAATACCACACTGTAGTAAGAGCTTTCCTTTCTAATAAGATAGTCATTTTTTAGTCCTACAAAGTTGGGTAACAGAAACTCCACCCTGTGAGAACGCTTCCTGCAGATTAAGGCGCCTCTGGGTGAGACACGGAAGCTAGTTCTCCTCCAGCCCCAAGAAGAAAAAAAAAGGTTCGAAACCAGGGTTGACTAACTTGGGCCTTTACTAAACCGCCAATTCGAAAAAACACAAAGCACCCATAAAGTACATAAAAACAGAAAAAGTGGGTGACAGACTGGGAAGCTCTTCCCCAACCCTCCATGGAATTAATAAGCCTATCGCACTCGAAGAAAAGTCCCTTTGTTGAATCGTCACCAAAACAACGGAATGTGGCTGAATAGTCCCTAGGGGACACTGTCCTTGGCGGAGGGGTCCAGGCCGCCTCCCAGAGTCTAAAATTCGCACCAAACAAGATCCTCCTGAGTCAGTCACACGATCCACAACTGCAAGATCCTCTCGACCTCGGAATACCATTTTCCTAGAAGCCTCCCCAAGTCCAATCGCAGCCACCAGGCCACCCACGCCGACGCTTAAATACAAACGCTCCACGCCATAGGCCAAACCCAGGCCTCCCAGTCCCAGGCCCCACCAACCGGCACCCCAGCGCGACCTCGACTTCAAACCGACAAAGGATACCAGCACCACGGCTTCAGCTGCTTCTTCTTCTTGCGACCCATAACTGTGTTCTACAGACAAAGTAAAAGGGAGGAGAAAAGAAGCAGGAGAAACGAGGCGAAAATCCTTCACTTTCCCGACCCAACGGCTACGACTGCGTCCCACAGGAAGCAGACACAAAATGGCCGACGGCCTCGTTCCCCGCTCCGCCTCCCGTCAGGCACTGCGGCAGGAGGCGGAGCCAGGAAGGGAGGGTCACAGGACGCAGACCTCCGCCCTGAGTGGGTGGGACTAAGAGGCGCGAAGAGGTGGCTGACATCTTTCTTGTCCGTTTGAGAGTCTTTCGCTTTCGCTGTCAGTGCTTGCGGAGCGCTTCGGATTTCTTTTGTAAAGGAGCCAGAGACCTAGGTACGCCAAGGCACATGCAAATGGAAAACAGAAAACGAAAAAACGGGAAAGATTGCCAGTGCAGTTAGGGCCGATCACAAATAGAGATAGAGACAGCGCCCAATTTTAATTTTGTTTTAACAGTAAATGTTGATTATGTGCCTATTAAATGCTAAACCAAAGAAGTTAGTCTCTGCTTTGTAACTCGCAGATTGGTGAACAGACGAGTACACAACGCAGAGCCTTCAGTGCGGCGTTGGGGGAAGTGTGAAGTGCTGTAGGACCTCAGAGAGCGGGAGTCCTAAGGCGGCCGTAGTGGTAGTGATCATTGGGTTGTCAAGAAAGGTTTTGTTTTTCTTTGTTTTGTTTTATTTTTCTAAGACGAAGTCTCGCTCTGTCGCCTAGGCTGGAGTGCAGCTGCGCGATCTCTACTCACTGCACCCTCTGTCTCCCGGGTTCAAGCGATTCTCCTACCTCAGCCTCCTGCGGGACTGCAGGCCCGCGCCACCAAGCCCGGCTAATTTTTGTATTTTTAGTAGAAATGGGGTTTCACCGTGTTAGCTAGGCTGGTTTCGAACTCCTGGGCTTAAGTGATCCGCCCGCCTCGTCCTCCCGAAGTGCTGGACTGCAGGCTTGAGCCGCTGCACCCGACACAAGAAAGGTTTCTTGAAGAGTCAAAGGGAGCAAGCAAGGTGAAGGAAAGGGTATCTCAGTAAGGGAGCAAAGAGTTGAAGTCTTTGAGGCTGGGCACGTGAAAACACTAGTCGTGGTAAGACTGGAGCTGATAGCCGGGCGCGGTGGCTCACGCCTGTAATCCCAGCACTATAGGCCGAGGCCGAGGCCAAGCCTGGCGGATCACTTGAGGTCAGGAGTTCGAGACCAGCCTGGCCAACATGGTGAAACCCTGTCTACTAAAAATACAAAAATTAGCCAGCCGTAGTGGCAGGCGCCTGTAACCTCAGCTACTCTGGAGAATGAGGCGGGAGAATCACTTGAACCTGGGAGGTGAAGGTTGCAGTGAGCCGAGATCTCGGCATTGCACTCCAGCCTGGGTGACAGAGCGAGACTCCATCTCAAAAAAAAAAAAACAAAAAAAACTGGAGCTGTCAGTGAAGGTGCTGGTCACAAGAGATAATCCTAGGGAGGCTAGCAAAGGCGGATTCTGGCAAACCCTAGAAACATTGTCAGAAGTTGGATTTCAGGCTGAAGTCTCAGAAGGCACAGAGGAGTTCTTTTTTTTTTTTTTGAGACTGAGTCTCGCTCTGTCGCCCAGGCTGGAGTGCTGTGGCCGGATCTCAGCTCACTGCAAGCTCCGCCTCCCGGGTTCCCGCCATTCTCCTGCCTTAGCCTCCCGTGTAGCTGGGACTACAGGCGCCCCCCACCTCGCCCGGCTTATTTTTTTTGTATTTTTAGTAGAGATAGGGTTTCACCGTGTTAGCCAGGATGGTCTCGATCTCCTGACCTCGTGATCCGCCCGTCTCGGCCTCCCAAAGTGCTGGGATTACAGGCTTGAGCCA